TCGGATGTAATGGCTCCTCTCGGCAGCAGTGAATGCTTGAATCCTCTGTTTTCCACACTCACTCATTAATTTAATTAAACCAGTACACTGAGGGACATTTCTGCCTTACCAAAAGAATAAATTTTCATCACACGCTGTAGGGAAGATGACTCAGAATTGGAGTTACCATAGAAATGACAGAATTAAGAAAGGAGAGTGTGAGATAAATGTCGGTCAAAGCTCTGTGAAATTCCATGGAATCAGCCATTTTTGACATATAATTTGACCTGGTATGTAGGACCATGGTCTGGTGAAGGTGATAACATGGCAAGCTTTGTAAATCCAGTTTTTGTTTGTCTAACAAGATGAATGAAGGTGAGCATTTGCCATACAGGTCAACTGACATGCTTTCCTCACCAAGGCCCCGCACACTAACGAGCTCACCTTGGGTGCAAGAAGGCAGTACAGCTGGGGTAAGAGGCACAGCTGACAAGGGTTAGTCTTTCAAACTGCTCAGGTGTTTTCCATATCAAGAGAGCTTGTTTGGAGTTTTGATGTTGCCAAAGAGGTTAGTTGGGCATTTGCCTCAGCTGCGGTGGTACAGGAGACTGGCCTGATATAACTGTTACTGGCTATTAGGGACTTGCATCCTGCTGATACTGCTTGAACTTCACACGGTGTGTAGGCTGAAGAAGATGGGATTGTTGGAGCTGGAAAGGAGAGCTTGTGGATTGCTGAAGCCTTTTACTTGTATCACCTATGGTAAGATCACTGTGGAGGCAAAGGGAGGGAGGCAAAGGGAGATTAATTAGGGAAATTAATTAGGGAAATTGTAGTGTGTGCTGAGGGAGGAGTAGGAACAGCAGAGGCTAGGAGTTAGCCATCCAGTGATCTTCAGCGTGAAGGTGTCAGTGACTGCAGCAGGGAAGAGGGTGACCAGAATTTTTTGTTAGTTAGAAAACCTGTCTGCAGAGGAGCAAGATGTCTCAGGTCTAATGCAGTGCAGCGGGTCCTGCCTGAGATCACAGCTGTGTTTTAAAAGGAATTTTAAAAGGAGTAGAAGGAAGCATATAAAAATAAGTGAAGTTCTGGTTATATGAGGCAAAGGATGCTATTTAAGAAAGGAGGTATAGGAAAGATGGAAGTTTCTCGGTGTTTCCCAGTCACACTGTCAAATGGCCAAGGAAGCCGTTTTCCTTGGAAAGTGAAAAATTTTGGTAATTTTTAGATGGTATGCTGTGGCTTTTGTTCACTTCTCAAGGACTGCTTTACATTTATTTGTAGAATGTTAAAGGTTGTATCTAAATCTTTTATAAAAGCTTTGTAAAAATGCCTATGTGAAGAAGGACCAATAGCCCCCAGTTGGTTAGTGTGTATCGCATGCACTGTGGCAAAATTAGAGTATCTTTTTTCCTGGAAAAGGGGAAGCCTGCAGGTGACCACAGACCTGCCAGTGTCATGCCAATGAGCACCTGCAGCTTTTCTCAGCAGGCTTTGTTTCCCTTACCAAGTTGATTCTCCTTCCCTTTGTTATTCAGTCTGAACTCTGACTCACTGTTTTTTCTTCTCTACTCTTTCTCACCCCATGCCATTTATTCTTCTCTTTCTAATAGAAGACACCACCCATGTTTTCAGTTAAGGTTTCTAAAGCTATGATTTGCAAATTATGGTGAAAATAGCTAAGCCAGGTTTGCCTACCTTTTGTGTACACACCTCAGAACAAGAAGCTTCCTTTTCCAGATCATCTCAGCCTGGCATAGCCATATCCTGTCCTTTTCTTTTCCAGTTCAACAAGGGCATTGTTCTAGTAAAAAAAATATTAGTCTCCTTTGCAGACACTTCTCCTTTGCAAAATGCAGCTACTTATTAAAGACTATGTGTTGCTGTTCCAAATTATTTTAAGGTTTGTCAAAGGTTGTAAGAGGCTTGGAAATTATTTCTAATCTTTTGCATTGACACACGTCCTCCCAGACCTGAAATATTAAAATGGACAGAGTCCACCAGAGGGACGAACTTGTCCAAGACTTGAGAATTCATTAAAGCAAGCTCTGGTCTGGATCAGAATTTTATGCACTCCCTTATGCTTCTCTAAAACATTGGGTGTCTTGAATATATACAGCTAACATCAGATACGTGCTGCTGTGATTTCAGTGATTTAATTTGAGTTTCCCAAGGAGGCTTCTGGGGATTTCCATTGTATTGCTGTGTAATCCATCTTTTAGAGGAAGTATAAGCCCTCAAATAGAAAATTCCATGTTTTCTTGGATGTGACTTGGCTTTAATTTCAAGCATTTCTTACAATGAATTATTTTGAGATTTCAAACAGAAATTATGGGGTTTTTGCTTGTTTTTCCATTCTTTCTTAAATGTTCAAAATTCAGTAACTGGATTGTTTACAATTGTTTCAGTTCAAATTGGTTATAAATATATATACATAGTAATAGGAAAGCAGAAATGTGTATCATGTAGTGAGACAGTGTATTGTTTATAGTTGTTCTTTATTCCCTGGTTAAGCTTTTCTTTAGTGTGAGTTTAGGTATAAAAATCGCAACAAAAAACATCTCTGCTGCATGCAATTCAGAGTTGAACATATGAAGGAAGAGGCATATTAGAGATAGCTGTGATTAGTTCCCCCATTGTCTAATATTAAATCCATTAAGTATTTACTGTCTCAGCTGATCAAGAAATGGGGAAATGGTCATGAATCAGCAGAGGAGGACTGGTGTGCAGTCATTTTTGCATTACCCAGTTTCTAAGGAAGTTCCTTCACAAGCAACGGGGAGTTTAATGTGTTGTAGTGAAAGATGACCACAGAGCTGTGCTCTGGTGAAAGCAGATGGGACAGGGAGTTGGTTCAAGGAGCTGATAGGTAGATGGTGAAACCAGCAGTCTGCAGGAGCGATTTAGCTTAAGTGATTTATGGGGGCTGTTTGGAACACCTCACCGAGTTGCTACAAAAAGGCCGCTTCAGGTGATTTACCAACTGCAGTAAAGGCGTTGTGAATGCGCTGGCTGTTCAGCTCTCTTGTTAGTCTTCATTTGTCATCTGTCTTTCTATGCTGCTAGCATGTGATTACCTTGAAGAGACCTTTGAGCGTCTCTCCAGCACTCTTCACTGTAGGCAATGAATGCCTTGCTATTATTTATCGAAAGGGATTGCTAGCCAGCATTTGTCTTTTCTGGTTGCTGGTTGTTAAAAAACCAGAAATGCCGGTAGCTAGGGGAAGTTGTACCATGTTCATCTATGTGTCCATATGGTAGAATATGGTGTGTCCTTCACAGCACAATGAAACATGAGTGCGCCTAATTCCAATTTGTATGGCATTCCCATTAATGATGTCCATTTAAGACACCCATTAAAGGCCCTTAATGTTAATTAACCGGACTATGCCAATAAAGTTCTATTAGCTTTCCCCTATTAATTTAATATTATAAGCATTTAACAGATGTCTTAATTAGATGTTACACTGAAGGCTATGAGCAAAATTAAAATTAGGTCATTGTCCTGAAAGGAAAGTTACTGCTATGATTTATGCTTGCTACCACTTTGTTTTTCCTCTGACCTCTCACAGGAAACCAAGGCATTTAATTTCAGAGAATAGTGAAGAGGAGCAATGAGTACTAGATAGAATAGTAACTGGGGTCTAACAACTTTAACACATCTTATTCTTATTTCACAGATGTAAATTCATTTTAAAAAAGCTTCTACTCTGGAACTTTCAAGTATGTTTACCTATATTTTCAAAAGCTTTCCCAGTGTTTCTTTCTCCTAGTTTCCCATTGGTGTGAAATGACTGTATTTCCCTGTATAAAATATACATCTCTAGCAAAAACACTGTTTTCCCCATCTCAAAGGCAGTACTTCATATAATTGCAACAAAGACTTATCTCCATACCAACTACTTTATTTCCTGACTTCAAAGGGGGCAAAGAAGCAGTCTGTTCTTCTGGAAAACCAGTATTGCCCATGCTGTGATTTCAGCTGATCAGAGTCTGGTTCAGTGATGCTGAATCCAGTCTGAAGCAGACTGGATTCATGCTAGGGGTGTGAGGGATCATGCTAGGGAGGTGCAGCTCTCTGGTACCTTTCCCAGCAGCAGGTCCAGAAAGGAAGGGGGAGCTTTGCAGGCCAACTGACTGAGGGCTGGCTGGCACAGTTAGTGTTTTCATAGGACTGGGGAGGGTCGGAGGTGGTTGTCATCTTTGGCTTTCTCATGGCAGATAAATGGCTTGTGTGCTCTGCAGAGCAGTTAAGTGCTCTAGCTGGAACCGTCCTCCTAACTCCAGTCCCAGACTTGATATGCAGTGTGATACAGTGGTGTGCTATGTTCTCTTTAAAGAAATGACCCTGGTTGGCCACAAACACTGAATGGTGGCAGAGAAACACCTCTTCCTAGATTAGGAGGTGTTTCATTTGATCATGACATTGACTTCATAATTTACATTCACAGCTACCTTTATAATACAAAAATATAGAGGCTCTTTAATAATAGAAAAGTCTAAATACAGGGATCACTGCCATCTTCCAAACAAGTCAAACCTGCCTAGTCACTGAGAGATTGTAATCTGGGTAATCAAAAAAAGGATCCTCAAAGTATATAGTAAAAAAATTATTAAAAACATAGACGCCATGTCTGAATATATACCAAAACCAGGTTAGAGTAAACCTCTATGAATAGAGGTTAAATATTCAGAAATCAATTTTTTGGGTAATTTAAGTACAACATTGAGTGGGAGTCGCTTCCATCTTTGAATTTAACCACAGGGAAGGAGATATTCAAGGTAAAACCTATCAGCTGAAACAACTTGCATATGCTTGCACTGGGCAAAGATGTTGATGTTGGCCCAGGAACAATGATTATAAAAGAGCAGTTGTCATCATGTACAGTCTCATTATAAGCATATAATAGATAAAGCCCAATTTATACAGAAGGCAACGTTAACTTTTATCAGAGTTAAATGATATAATTTTCATTCTGCAAATTTATGATTATAAATTGAAACAGAAGCCAGGTAATTGATACTAATCATATAATTTTAATAGAAGCCAGAATGTTATATACAAATAACAAAACAGATGAAAAACTCCAGCAGTCTGAGAGACTGCTTTAAAGACAACAGATACTAGACATTCTTCAGTAAGAAGAAATGCTTTAGAAATATTTCACATAGCAATTCAATTTTCAGTCTGCCAGAAAACTTGGTCTTTAAACTGAAGTAAACCAGCAGACATTTCTATTAATACTTCTGATTTTCCATGAAATCATAGGTCAATAGTTCCTTTCAACTTGAACTTTTTTGCAGATCGCTCACTTGCTCTAAGCTGGAACTTGCTTCCATAAATGTAGGAAATGAATCCATCAATCTCCAAGCTAAATACGTTGTTAAGTTTGGGAACAACTGAAAATGTAAAATGAAATAAATTAACAGAAGTGGACTAGTGTAAATCCCTGTTAAGAAAATACACCGATGTACCAGAGGATATTACTCATGCGTAGACTTGAGGTTTGCCACATTTCAAGGTTTTTATACTTTAACAAGAGAGGAAAAATAACCAAAGCTTCTAAATTTTACACTAGAATTACTGACGTTAGTCCTGTTTCAGGAGCACGCAGTAAGTTGCAGAGAACATCTAATGTGAATCAAATGAATGAGCCATGTGCATAATCATGTTGGGTTCATTGGAAATGCCTTTAAAAAAAAAATTGCTCATTTCTAATGAGATAGTTTTTGATAAGATATTTGGGCAATTACATGGTCAGTAAAGACACTGACTTCTGCCACTCTTTGCAAAGAACTAAAAGCACTGATATAAAAGAATGTACTCTGACATGCAAGATGAATAGCATGTTAAAGAACTTCTGATTATTCAAATTGTGAAAAAGCACTGAAAAACACTTATACCTTTTAATTTGTCCTCTTTAGTGATAATTTTGAAGACATGTTTGAATTCCTGTAGAATGATTCCTGTTATCCCAACATAAGAGGGGCACTTTGATTTTGTGACTGAAAGAACAGAAGTATGTATGTATTAGGAAGTTTCAGGTGCAGGCAGTTTATCTGCTCTTCTACATTTGTCTCATCATTTTAAAAACTGGTTGCAATATTCTGAAATAATGCAATTACAGTAATCCCTAGTAAAACTTGTGCTTAATCTTCGCAACTAAGACCAAGTTTTCCAAGAGCAGTTGAAAAGTAATTAGCATTGATAAGTAGAGAAAGAACTCATCAACATATGATCTCAACTATGTGATTCTAGAGTTAATGATACTGAAAGTAATTAAAAAATAAGCCCCTGAAATGTAGGAGTGTCTACTGAACTTCAGATGACTTTTTTTTTTTTAAAGAAAACAGAATACCTGTAACGATAGCTCCATGGAGATCAGCTTTTAGCAGTTTGCTCTGAACCATGTGTGGTTGCCTTGAAGAAGAGAGCGGGATCAGAGAAGAGGGGAAGAAAATTGTATGGAAAGTTAGGTTTAGAAAATGCGACCATGGCTACTGAAATCATGGCCAACGCTTACAGAAATAGTTCATATCTTTATCAAGTAACTATGATGTTTCAAACAGGAAGTCAGTGAACCTTGAAATATCTACTAAATAAAACACCCAACAACTTAAAAATATCTCAACTTACACATCTGGTTTAAGTCCATGACATAGGTCTCTGATATACTGCTTCCAGAGTTCATGTAGTGGTAGAAAGATGGCATATCTGCAGTAAAAAGACAAGTATTACACAAGAACTTAATTATCAAAAAATCCATTGGTTGAGTACTGAAGTAATCCATATTTACAACAGAGTCAAGCCTAACATTAGTAAGTTTTGTGATCTGCTCTCAGAACTTAACCTATGAGGTGACCCACTGCAAATAACAGCTTTGATGTATAAAGACAGCACAAAGCATGCTCCTCTCTATCAACCCGGACCGGTGATGTGTTTTAGAAGACCAGGCACATCCAAGACAGAACAGATTTCTACTCTCTCACCTCCTGCTTACATCACGTTGGCAACAGCAGGGGCCTTATTCAACATGCTTTGTTTAAGGAACCTGAGGCAGAATTTTGACTCTCTGGTCACAGGCAGCCTAACTTTAAAAACTGAAACCAGAGGTGACTATATCTGGGTTTGATTTCTTGTTACACTTAAGCATACAAAAGGAGAGAGAACCAGGAACAAACGGAAATGAATTTTCCAGCTGTACAGCCAAAGGAATTGTTTTCTTATGGTAAGATGCCACAGAGTCTCAGACTGACTTTGCACACTGAAGGGTCAGTATCCATACGTATGTGCTGCTGCTCTTACATACTTCTGATGTACTTCCCACTTTTACTATAAAAAGGAAATAGTTAGGATCTTACCTTTGCTGTTCTGGTTCAATTTCAAAAAGACGCATTTCTCGCCTTTGCTTTGCTGTAAAACCTTTTGTTTTCTTCCTCTTTTGCTTTGTCTTTTTTTTGGAATAATGCTCAAGCACAACAGCTTTTCGAGTTAGTATATCCTGGATAGCTTCATCTTTCCTTTTTGGCATACTACGCTTCAGGAAGGCATTTACAAACGCTTTGGCCTCTTCTGGTCCTTGAGGCTAAAGATGTTTTGAAAGACACTTTAAAATATTAAATTTTAATTAAATTAAGAACTTGCTGCTGACTAGTAGTTTTGTCAGGTTGACATAATCACCACAAGATTAGAGAATGAGATGTAAATTTAGAAATTACACTAACGGAACAGTAAACGCAAAGGGCTCACGTGGTGACGCCTCGGGCACGCAGGGCCGGGCGCGGGCGCGCAACAGCCCGCGGTTCTCGGGCGTCACCCTGACGCCTCCGCGGCGGAGAAACGTCAGTTCCGGCACGGTTTGACTCGGCGCGTGCAAACGCTACAGCCCAGCGGGGCGGCCTGGGGAAACCCGCGCCCCGCCTTTGGTTCCCAGCGGGGCTTTTGTAAGACT